GCTAACCACAAGGCGTGCAGCTCAAACCCACCAGCGACTCCAGAGGAGACAACTGAGGCTAAGCTCACAGAAGGAAGCCCTAGACAGGGTCAGAATGAGTCAGGATGGACCCCGAGGCTCCATCCCAATGCCTCAGAGCCGAGGGGACAGAGCGGGGTTTCCGAGGCTGTCAATCTTGATGGGAGCAGACAGCATCATCTTTCTTCCTGGGAGTGGCCAGTGGGTTGGAACTGCCCACCTGGCAGTTAACAGTCAAAGTGTCACCCACGACGCCACAGGGCTTGATGGCACGGGGTTGATTAACTGGTAAGGACATATTGTGGAGTGAAATGCCAAGACCTCACTGGTGTGCTGTAGTACCTCACCTGTATGTTGTATTACCTCACCTGTATGCTGTATTACCTTACCTTCACGCTATATTGCCTCATCTGTATGCTGTACTACCTTGCCTGTATGCTATATTACCTCACCTGTATGCTATATTACTTCACCTGTATTACCTCACTTACATGCTATCTCACTCATATGCTATATTACCTCATCTGTAAGATATATTATCTCACCTGCACATTGTATTCTCTCCCCTGTATGCTATATAACCACATCTGTAAGCTCTATTATCTTGCCTGTACACTGTATTGCCTCACCATCATGTTATATTATCTCACCTACCCACTATATTATCTCACCTGTATGTTATATTACCTCACCTGTACACTACATGATCCCATTTGTGCATTATATTATCTAACCTGTATGCTGTATTATCTCACCTATGCTGTATTACCTTGCCTGTATGCTATATTAGGCAGCCAAGTATACTACCTCACCCTTATGCTATATTATCTCACAGGTAGATGCTATATTACCTCACCTGTAGGCTGTATAGACCTCACAGGTAGATGCTCTATTACCTCACCTGTATAGACCTCACAGGTAGATGCTATATTACCTCACCTGTAGGCTATATAGACCTCACAGGTAGATGCTCTATTACCTCACCTGTATGGACCTCGCAGGTAGATGCTATACTACCTCACTGGTAGATGCTCTATTTACCTCACCTATAGGCTGTATAGACCTCGCAGGTAGATGCAATATTACCTCACTGTTAGATGCTCTATTACCTCACCTGTATAGACTTTTCAGGTAGAAGCTATACCACATCACTGGTAGATGCTCTATTACCTCACCTGTATAGACCTCGCAGGTAGATGCTATACCACCTCACTGGTAGGTATATTATTACCCAACCACCAACCCGGTTGCCCTCCCATTGATCCTCACTCATGGCGGCCCCAGCTGTTGTGAGCTGAGCAAGGTTCTCGCAGCTGTCACCTGGTGGGAAACTGACCGCCAGGCCTTTCTCCCGTGGACTGCTAACCTTTACTTCGTGACAAGAGCGGACGCGTGTGCACCACCCGGAGGGCTGTGGAGTCCATTGGCAGCCCGTTTCCCATCTGCAGAGGGAGGACGGCGGGGAGCACGGCGCGGTCACCCGCTTGCTCCAAATCACGCAGCTAAAGGTGGTTGAGCGCGGATTCCCACTGCAGCTCTTAGCTCCGGGGCCCATAGAGACAGGTGGGCGTGGGGGACGAAGAGGCGGGCAGGCGAACGCAGGGGCACGAGGTCCTGGGGGTGCGAGGGTCACTCACCTCCACCAGCTGGTGCCAGTGTTCCACCGGCTTGCGGGGGTTGGCCAGCATCTCTGCCCAGTGCTCGCGCCCGTGGGGGTCCGCGGCCTCCGGCCCCACGCGGCACACGCCGATCACTTCGTTGTGGCCAATGCTGGGGGACCGGGGTGGGAGTTAGCGGCGGGGGGTCGGGTTGGGGCCACGCACCCACCCCCATGACAACCCCCTCCCTCCCCGCCCGCAACCCTTACCAATCGTAGTCCACCAAGGCGATGCTGAGCCCCACGTTCTCCACGCTCTCGGGGGCCACGTCGAACACCAGCGCCTCGTTGTACGTGGGGTTCAGCGTGTTCTTCTTGATGGACGTTTTCCGCTTCTTCAGGCGCCGCCCCTCGCTGATCAGGGAGGCTTTCACGTAGGGGTCTGGGTGCGAGGACAGACCGCTGACCGGCCCAGCCCTCCGCCCTTACTCCAGCAGTCCTGGCCCCCAGCCCTCCTCCCTCAGACAAGAGTCCTGACCCCCAGCCCTCCTCCCTCAGACCAGGAGTCCTGACCCCC